AATATTGTATGCCTGATATATCGAGAAATTTAATTGTTTTTAATTTTTATATTCTATTCAAATGTGAATTACTATCGGATAATAATATTCAAACAATAGAAAACTCATTTAAAATTCATCGATTTTTTATTGATCATCATTGGATAAAAGTGAAATGTTTCTTTGATCCAATAATGTCATATCAACATATATCATCAACTGAAATGATCAAACCGAAATTCTTTAATAGTATTAAGTAAGAAGATTCGTTTTGTAAAAATCCATAGAATTTATTTTTGTATCTTTTAGAAATTATTCACATATTTTTGATTGGCAACATATGAAATGTTTAGAGGTTGATTTATGTCCATCGATTGATTTATTTCTCGAACAATTTAATATTTTATTTCCTCATATAACTTCTATTCAATTTAATATGGGTTAGTATTTGGTCATATTTAATAGTTGAATCAAAAAAAAAAAAAATTCATCGAGTCAAAAAAATAGAAAAGAAAAAGAAAAATGAAGTCTCGAAAAAACATTTCGTATCAATGGAATCATTCTAGTGTACTGTTGTCAGCTATCAGAAAATAATATTAACATAGCATACATATAATGACTGAAGCTAATATTGTTAAGATAGATATATTATTGTTTATACTCATCAATATAATGCAAAGGAGCTTTTTAAATTCATGTCTAATTCAAAGTCAAATCAAACTGGTCAATTTCTAAAGAATGTGTTGCGGAAAATATCTTGGATTTTCTCCGTCCGTAAAATACTATCTTGTGAGAATCTTAGTAGTGAGATTCGGAAATATCTAAAATATTGTTTTCGTCTATCCATAGAATTATCTAGGGTTAATTTGAAGATATTATTAGGACTCTCGATGTTCTTTAGAAGTGGGAGAGGCAGAGAAAGTTGAAATTTCTCAAACTCAGGGACAGCATGAAAGGTTCGTACCAAGGGGAAGGGTACTGGTGAAAAAAGGAAAGAGATCAAAGAATTTTTTGCCGTATGGAACAATTATAGGTCTTTTTTTTCAGAAAATTTCCTAGAAAGTGCCCATTGAAGACTTTTTTCTCCTCTTCACTGTAGTTTTCTAGGTGGACTTCCTATGTTGAAGCTCCTAAATCAGGCGCAATTCGTTCTCAGCAGCGGAGCAAGTATGGCTAAAAAACGGAGAAAGCATTTGACAAAATCAAAGAAAATGTCAGCCTGATTTTTGAAACTCAAGGGTTAGGTTACCCTCCCGGTTGCGCAGTTCCTGCATAGACTATCTGGTAGAAAATAGCAGGCAAGAAGCTGTCTACTAGAGTTTGACAGACCATTTTAGGGCTATTACTACAGATGTTCGCAGACACGACGTTAAAAAGTAAGAGAGACTAGGTCAGTTTTCTCTGCCCCCCCTCCCTCTCATCGTTAGACTTCAATTTAGGTAAAGTTTTCATTTTTCTATAGGACTCAAAGAATTTGTCTGTGGCTTTGAATATTCCATGTTTTTACAATCATCATTGAATGTATTGCAATGCAAACTGACCAATATTCATCTCCAATACATTACAAGACTTGATATTGGATCCCGCTTTTGCCGTGGTTCTGGTAAGTCATACTTTTTAGCTTTCGTAATATTTTAGAATCCCGTAAATCAGCTGTTCGTTTATCATTCATTAGTATAAAATAACGAAATGCTGTGAACGTAATTTGCTCAGTTTGTAAGCATTTATACAAGTGTCTTAGTGTGTTTAATAGACAACTTTCACCACAAAAATGTATTTTGTTTTGTTCAGAAAAAATTAAGATATTGTTCTATGTTATTAACATGAAATAACTAGAAGTTTAGTCTTTGTTCACCAAACGTATGTCATTCAGAGATGCTCACAGACAAGGTAACCTTATTCTGGCTTGTTCTAGGACAGAATTAAAAAAATCTTTTTTTTTTTACCGTACCCTGAAAGAACAGGGTAAGATCTTCACATCCTTCAAGTTTGTACATCAAGTTTCTGAGTTTCACCTTCGAAAAAAAATAGCGTTTTTTTGAGTCTGTGTAGGTCAAAAAAGGAAAATAGGTTACAGAGTCGATAGCAACTAGTACTTTGAGTTATGCTTCATCGATATACATTCGAATGAACATGGTAGAAATCAAAAAAATAAATCTAATAATTTTTGAAAAATTGTCTTTGTAGTGTGCTTGTTCTCTTGAGTTTGCCATATTGAAAATATAGTTTTACTTATGAGTTTTGTTTTGTTTGGTTTTGATAATATTCACCTGCTAATAGCAAGTTTCAGTGTCAGAGTGAACACGAATATCGATATTGCTGACGATGTAGATGTGTTGTAGTGTAAGTGCAAATATGGCATTAAGATAATACTTCCAATCACTTCACAGTTCATCGACTACTACCGCTACATGGGTCACACGTACACTCAATAAGAAAGCATATTGATTCTACAGGATGGTACGATACACTACTTTGCTCGATCCAGTGCAGCAAGTCATGAAAGAACAGGATGGGATTTGTTTGTTTTTTATCACAAGGGCAGAGTGTAAAAATTCGCTCTGAACATCTTTAATGCTGTTGGATACTAGTACTGGTCAATTTAATCTAATACAGAACATTACGTGGTTGATACGAGAGGATTAATTCTTGTAAATAATTGATAGAAATATATTTGTAAAAATATTCTTATTGGAATAATAATTATATATTTTCAGAGTACAATTATAAATCTATTGATTACAATACAGTACGAGCAGAAATACTTGCTTATCTTATTTCAATGCCAATTCAATTGATTTATCTTCGAATTGAACATTTTGAATGGCTTTTGCACATTGTTCAATATGTATGTATTTTATTAACTCTTACTCTTCTCTCTCTTTCTCCCTGCCCCACAGTGCCTACGCTTGTGGATATTGGCATAACAACAATTGAACAAAAATGAGAACGTTTGTTCGAAAATGAACTCTTGATTGGTCATAAAAGCTAATAATTTTTTTTTTATAGAACTTCTAGTCAAGCTATTTAAAATTCAAAATGCAATTTTTCTGCTCATCGAGCATTTTATAGAAGTTTTTGCGTTAGTCAAAGCTCAGAATCTTTTTCGATCTGAAAACTCATGTTTGCAGATCAAATGAGAGATTTATCATTTGTTGAAAGTATGTAATAAAATTATGAATGAGTTACTAATTTTGAAATCTGATAATATTGTAATATTGAGA